GTCCGATGCCAAACACAATGATGATGAAACATGATGACTTCATGACCATATCTTTTATATTCTTATATAACATATGAATACCTACAATATGTCACAAATCTAACAGATTTAACACTTAAGATTAAATAACTAGATGTTTTCAACCCAGCAACTTGATAATTGTTGAACGACTCCTGCACTGTCTCTTTGAGATCCGTTGAGACCGACTTGTCATTCTCCTCAGCGGCCTCCATGGCAATCCATGCGGCGCATCCCAACGGATCGATGGGATGCCGTTGCCGTTGTGCCGTTCTCTGATTGAAAGGTTCAGCCGTTCATAAACTTCACAGGATTTCAATCAGATTTCATAGATTTATCATGGGTTTATAATATTTTATAATGTCTTATCAGCTTTTGGTTTTGACATGTTTTGACCCTTTAACTCCGTATCCCAAAGATCATCCTAGACATCTTAGATATCTTGGATATCTTTGTGAATTTTCCGATAGAAACAATGACCAAACTGCCAGAGTGCTGATGCCTTCAAACTGGGTGTTTTTTAGTCGGCTTCCTTGGTCCCTTTTGTCCCTTTTGGCTTTCAGCTGACTCGGGGATGTCGTTTGTCAAAAAACACAACGTGCGTGCCCAACTGAGGCTGGACCTTGAGCCGATAGTTCTTCAGAATTCCATGAGAAAAAAAACATGTCGCCATGATGATGACTTCATTGTCGGATTTGCTGGGCTTCATTCCATGATTTGCTGATCTTTGAATACCTGAAAAACCCAGATCATGGGCTGATTGCAGTTGAACTTGCCATGGTATGCACTGAATTCTCGCGTGATCGCTAGGTAAAAAGGCCTTAAAAGTGAAGCTTCGGTGGGAGCCGCAATCAAGAGAGAGTTGTTCCTACAAAAGTATCCTTACATGAACAGAAGTATCTACATGTATCGTCAGAACATGATTCTAGATTGCTAGCCTCCTCAGATGCTGTACGATGAGAGTCGATGAGTTTCCTCTGGAATCGTGTTCAAGCGCAATAAAACTGTTTCCCTCCGGTAGTTTTGCTACCACACTGCTCAAGCACTGGATAGTATGTTATTGAGTGGCGGCAAATCTGTGGATACAACAGGACAGGCATTTGCGTATAATCGTAGATTTGTATATAATGCACACCCACTTCATCACATGTAATTTTACATAATTATATTTATATACACATAATATGCAGTGATAAACAAACTGATGATGACAAACAAAATAAGAATCAATAATAGCAATGACCACAATGATAAAACCAACTTGACACACACACACACAGAGAGAAAGGAAACAATAACAATATACCCAGGCAGCAACTTCTTTCTCCAGCAGTGTCGGGGTTCCCGCAAGATCGAATCGACATCTTTGGTCGTTGCCACGGTCTTCATGGCTCTGTGGCCAGGGTTTGTTGTCACCTTCGAGAAGGCCAGGGTAAAAAACTGCCTTTGTTTAAACATGAAGCCAAATAATCCAAATAGCAAAACAAGTCAGTCTGGGAATAGATACGATAAGAATATGATACGTATTATTTGGGAATATGTGGGATATGTTTAGACGGTTCAACCTCCCACTGTTCATATTTGTCGCTTTTTGTGGGTCAAATGCTCCAAAATTGGGATCATTTGGGTTCGAGGAAACGTGCATTTGAGAATCATTGGTTTCTCCTTCACGGGGGGCCGCAGATGTGCCGTGGAGGTAGCTAACTGGTTAGTAGCCCCCTATACCTCGGTATAGAATGAAACAACCTACCATAACCTACCTACATACTGACCAGCCACCTAGCTCAGTGGGAAAGATGTCAGAACGAACTCTTCCATCACTGTGATATTTGGGATTTGGGTATGGATCAATACCTATTAATACCATTTTTAGGGGGATGAACATCCATTTACCAGCTATTTTGAGGTTCACCAGGGGTACAAGGTTTTGACACACTGCCATTTGGGTTTGTCTGAAAATTTCGGGGAACCGCCCTAGATCCTCTGGTTTATCATTCATTGATTCTCCTGGTAGAATCAGGAGATTTTTTTGGGTATCCATGGGTATCCACCATTTGCGAACACACCCAAATCATCATACCCATAGGATCCATGTATGGCATATATGCTAACATTTGGGGTATATTGATGGTAAATGTCACCATATATAGCATACATGGATCCTATGGGATAGTAAGTTGGTTAATATCTCATTCTATCCCCATTAAATACACATTTGCAGACACACCCATTTCCTGAGAGTAACTCCGTACCCCCAGAAAGCTCAATGGCCATCTGCATCAGCTCACCCATGGTTATCACCCCTGGGAATTCGCCGAGAATTGTGGATGTGACATGTAAACAACTCTAAATAACTATAACATTAAACAACGCCCATCTACATGGAATTCTACAAGTACCTTTTGTTTAATCAAATTTTATCTGGTTGGTGGTTTGAACCCTTCTGAAAAATATGAGTCAGTTGGGATTGTTATTCCCAATATATGGAAAAATAAAAAATGTTCCAAACCACCAACCAGTTATTGTAGGTCTTGACCTATCCCGAGCCGTAGCGATTGCGCAGCGCCTCAGGACTCCTGGCACTACACAACGCGTCGCTGCGTCAAGGGGCACGGACATGCTCAGCTGGCAACATCTTCCCAACACAGTGAATATTGATATACCATAGATAATCATAGATATAAGAAATTGTAGATATAACCATAGATATACCATAGATATAACCATAGATATACCATAGATATACCATAGATATACCATTAGTAAACCCACATCCAATATAATCAACATTGATCCGCTGATCCACAAATTGTCACAATGCACGGTCTCGAGGTGAAGACAGCGGCATGGTCATTCCAGAATTTCTTCCAGACCTTTCCCCCAGGTTCATTTAGAAACCAAAATATACATGCCAGGTTTCAGGTTTTCTGGAGATTTTCAGACAATTCTCCAGGTTTTTTGGATATGTCCAAAATATAAAATCAACTTTCGATTCTTGGAGATATCCAATTTTCACACAAACTATGAGGACTATGAGGTTATGATCAAACATATAAAATAGGATTTTCTATGATTTTCTCTAAACTTGGATAGAAGATGATAGAAGCTGTGGATACCCTAAATCCACTCATACAGCCAATTCTTTAGGGCATCCAATTCTGAACCACCAAAGGTTCCGGTCCCAACCTCTTCCAGATCACCCTGAACTTGCGCCAGCATGCCCTGCAAGTGGTGCGGACATCATGGCCACGAGATGCTAGAAGTCACACACAAATTGGAATTTAATCAATTCTAATTGCCGGATTTACTTGAATTGTGGCTTTAACAAGTCTATCACCCAATGGTTTTTTGGATGCTTAAGAAGCACAAATATATCAGACATTGGTCACCAACGGTCACCCCAACGAAACATCGGCAAATCCTGGGATGAGTTCTGACCCCTGGATAGCTGCTGAAGAGCCCAGTGGGGACCCCATGAAAGTTCGCCCAGCTGGGATGACTCGGTGACGCCCTGAGGTGAACCATGGTGAAACCCCCATGACTTGGTGGGCGCCAGCCCGTTGGATTTCTGGAACTGAACTCGTCGGGCCGAAAAGTCCCACCTGGATCTTGAGCATTGCAGGAATGAAGTCAGCCTCAGGAAAGCGCTAGCTGCAGCCTCCGAGGGCATGCAAACTCCACAACGGGGTTGGCTAAGCAGCACGGAACCTTCATATTTACTATGATTTATTTTTGAAAGCAGATTTTACTTTGGCATCGCACATCCAATTACTTGGTTTCGTCTACATCCAATTACTAGTAGCATGTACAACATATACTGTCAATTGCCACATCTGAGTAAAGTTACAAGAGGTACGTGCATCCAATCAAATTGTCCATTTGCCATTCATGACTTAAATCAAAACTCCATATGGAAATGGGTCAAAACCCAGATGCCCTGCAGTTCACATGTTAGAAATAGACAGAATGGTCCCGGTGTGAATACCACCATTTCGGTCGGTTGCTGAGTATAGCCTAGCTGACAAGTCTGAACCAGTTGAAACAATTTTGGAACCAAGTCCTCTATAATTCCTCATACAGATTTGTCTAAAACCATGTATTATCCACTGGCTACAATTTTCTGTATCAAACTGCCACAACCAGGGTGTATACACCTTTGCAGACGCACCCATATGATTCCATATGTCAATATTATGTCAAATGTCACATTAGTCGGTGGATGCTGGTGCTATATCGCACCATACGTTAGACATATTTCAAGCCTCCAAAAAGTTCGGCCGTTTAGGGATGTTTCCCTTACAGACCATCATCCGCATGTACATATGTTATGTATATATATGAATATATTACATCTATGTCAGTCAACATAGATATGGAATATCCACCATTTATCTGGATCAGTGATTAATTACAATATTTCACTAAACTGAAACAAGGCTTTGGGATAGTTGCATCTACAATTTTCATCATTCCAGTGACGTATGGATGAGTCCCTGGGGATACCATGCTTCTTTTCCATAGCCATTAAAAATACCCTTATGCTAGCTCATCATACGCTGGTTGATAGCTTTCCCTACAAATTCCCACCCTGGTATTATAGCTCACTCTAATAACCAATCAACCAGTGTATCTTTCATCGCTCATATCTTGGTTTACACCCTTGCATGATGCCCAGGCACGAAGGCTATCCGTCGGAAGCGGCTAAGTTCCTGAGGAGCGGCGACGCTCTCTGGAGAGCAGATTCTATAGGTATAAGTGTGTATGTGTGCATATATATATACACTGTATATACTGTAAATATATATAAATATACAGTGTATATATATATAAGTACACATAATTTAGACAAGTATAGACATTCACATCTCAGAACATATATTTATATAGTATGATACAGGTTTAGATATCTATCTTTTCATATACATATACTTATAACTTTATACAATTATGCATATATATATATACATGATTTTATATGTATACATGTAGGTATGCAGTTCCGCTTTGAGTCGCTTGTCAATAGCAATACATTAGCCTGATAAGTTCGCAACAGATTGAGATCATTGTCCAAGCACCTGCAGGTAGAGATAGGGGTTTCCTACAATGGGGATACCCCAAGTCACCATAGGTCAACAAAAATACCAAAAATTGTCTAATGACTTGGATGATAACTTGGATGATAACCCCCATGACTTAGGAAAACCTCCCTTTTTTGTCATCTTTTTCATTGTCCCGATGCGCGGAGGATTTCTTCCCAGTTTCCATGTTGGCTCCCAACTGCAGATTCAGCAGAAGTGCCAGCTCCTGGGGAGCATGAAGAAATGGACATCGCAAGCACCAAAAAGTCACTGGTTGGTGGTTGAGCCCTACCCCTCTGAAAAATGATGGAGTTCGTCAGTTGGGATGATTATTCCATAGATGGAAAAATCGAAGCCATGTTCCAAACCACCAACCAGGTGATCTACCATTCTTTGGAAGTGGTTGCTGGTGGAATGAAGTCTGAGATGCGAACATGATTTGTTTTTTTAGATCAATATAGTTCCCAAAGTCATTGGAAGTTGAAGGTAGCAGATGATCTCACCAAACAATCACAGAAACCATATCAATCATTAGAATCACTAGATTTTATAATCTATATCAATCATTAGATTATATAATATTAATTAATATTATATATACCCATAGGATCCATGGTGCTGGTATATATGCTAACATAAAGGGGGTATATTGATGGAATCCATGTTACCATATATAGCATACATGGATCCTATGGGATAGTAAGTTGGTTAATATCTCATTCTATCCCCATTAAATACCCATTATAATATCATGAATCTTCATCTTCACCTTAAGATCCCAAAAACAGGCCGACTCCGCGCCTTAACGGGTCGCCTTTCAAAAACGGCTCGCCCGAATTTTTCGGACCGCGCCTTATCCGAGGGATTTCGGATGCCCACCTTCGCCAGGATGGCCAAGACGTCCTGAGCTCACGGGACCCCATGAAGTCTCCATAGGAAAACCATAGGAAAACCATAGGAAAATGGTGGTTTAATGGGATTTAGTGGGATTTAATGGGATTTAGTGGGGTATACCCTCTGGTTATGACTAACATAGCTATTGAAAATGGGCATTTATAGTTCATTTACCTATTAAAAATGGTGATTGTCCACAGTTATGTTAGTTTACCAGAGGGTATAGGCTATTATATCTAGCATAGAAACCCATGTAAACCCCATGTAGACCCCATGAGTACATATGATTTCGACAGGTATATCTACACATTCATATAGAACTCACCCAGTGAAGTAAACCGTACTATATAGACGAACTTTGCTATCGTGAGGGGTCCACCTTGTATACCTATACCATCTATGATGACATTTTAGTGAGGGATTACTATACTGTAGCTTTTCGGAGAGTACGCAGTAAATGGGGGTAAAGAACCAACAGTTCTACTGAAATTTCTCATGGGAAGACAATGGGCCGTACAATCAAGATTACAAATGAATTTAAACAATACATAACAATACCTATTCTAGTAAACTTATACCCATCATTAACCATCATTAACCATCATTCTAGGAGGAGCCAAATACCCAAACCATCCATGGTTCTGCAACTGGGGGACTTGCCCCAATCATTTTATGGGGACTTTTTATCGGAACATCATATGGGACACTTCAAAAAAGTCGTGCTATACAACAAGCATTTTCTGAGGGGGAGTCATGGGGAGATTAAGCGGGTTATGGATATAATGTATAGTTATGTTATATCATATATATATATATAATACACATGTTAATATATATATATATACATTAACGGGATGTACAATTTCAAAAGTCAGGTGTTTTTTGTTCAAACATATGGATCCGATATGTTGTTTGTGAAGGACACTTTGTATGGGGACTGTAGAAACTATACTAGGGATGCAACCCATGTAATGGAAATAAACATCCATGATATATAATGTGGATTAGACAGGTGGGTATATCATGTTACAACATAGGTTTGTGCTCCACCCATCCACAAAATAGTTGTACATGAGTGATGTTAATGGTTGAAGGTTCATAAACAATCGGGAAATTACCATCAAACACCGGGATAGTGATAATGATGAGCTTATCATGATGACGATAACGATGAGGACAGGGACAACATGAAGGAGGCTGAATCTTGTAGTGATGCTGGGAGCCCTCTTAATTGGGATTGTTGCTGGTTCCGGCTGTGCTTTTTTGATAACATCTCCCACCTTGTGTCCAAACTTTGAAAACTCTTATGTCCCACATGTACAACTCTCTAGGTCCGAAGAAACATGGCAAATTTTGGATACTCTGAGATACCCTGCAAAAAGCTCAGTTGTTAGCTCTTTCGCTGGTGCGTTTAGTTTATAGCACAGTTTTTTTCACATCCATGGGAAATCAGCTCCTTCACAATCATCTGCTCTTGACTTCGGCTCCCATTATACACCTGAGACCGAAGTGAGACCCCGGGAAACATCGCGACGGCGCAGTATCGCGAGCTATGTGATATTTGTTTGGGACATCGGGACAGAGTAGGTATACATATACATGTATACATATACATACATATATAATATACATATATACATATATACATATATACATATATATATATATGTTATATCAAGATTTTATATCAGGATTTATATCAAGATTTAAGAATCATAGATCTCCAATACTCATGTTGACCTATGAATATGAGAAAAGAAACTGGCTGACCCAGGCTGACTCTCCGGCAAAAAAAAACATGGCCATGAAAACCTGTTCAAGTGGTATAGATAGGCACTATGGTCTTCATGTGGGGCGAATTTCCTTTCCTTCTGTTCTTTCACCCGTTGTTGGCCCCTTCTTTCCATTGCCAACCTTACTGTGCTTCAATGATCGTTCTTAGCTAGGTATCAAATATGCTCCCACTTACAGCTGCACATTCCGAAACCCATACCTACTTCCTGAGGCAAACAGTACAGTATGCTGGAACATATCCTACATATATATATATATGATATAATTATATATATATATATATATACACGTATACATTATGCTATCACATGCTATCACGATCCACATGTCAACTAACAATCTCAATTTGCAACATCAATTATATAATATATATATATTATTTTATATTATATTAAAAATTGGACGATCAAATCAAACCACAAATCAACCCATAAATTGCCATAAATGAAGGTTTCCTAATGTTTCCCAAAGTGGGGGGTACCCCCAAATCATCATTTGTTTTTTGGATTTTCCATTCTAAACGATCCAACTATTGGAGTACCATGCCTTGCGGAACTCGCGGATGACGGCCAACTCGCAAGAGTTCTGATCTGCCAAGGCCTTGGGGAAACTCCACATGGGAGCTTTATGTGAAAAGGACTAAGATTTTGCGTATAAAACTTGTATGTAACTTGCGATGTCAAAGAAATACACTTACGATACTTCGTCTTAGACCTATTCAGGAAACAATATGATATTTCTGAGTCGGTTTGGTACCATGCCCATCAGTTGCGGTTTGGTGCCCTTTCTTTCTTTTCATCAACCGATGGGAAAAGGTCTGGAATTCGTCACTTTGTGTTACTACGGCATTGTGCATTGTGCATTGTGCCTAGTCCGTGGACCAACAACATGGTCTCTGAGCCATTGTTTATACATAGCACTGTAGTAAATGTCATTCTTGATTCATCAAATATGCAGTTCAATACTTTGATTCATGCACTTGTCAACACACACACACACACACATAAACAACTTCGGATTTTGACATGATAATGTCATTGAGGCAAACTCTACACTGACTCATGTCGCGACTGATTTTATTCAGGTTTCCCCTTTGCCCCTGTAAGATCTACTGTTGAATTTTCTGTGATTTCACCCCGAATTTAACACAGTGGAAATTGCACATTTATAGATGATTAACCTGATCAATAGCAAACTGTTGTAAATTATCACACGGTCTCTTGAAAAACAATTTTCAGCAATGTTCAAAGCCCTCCGTCATTCCAGTATACCGGCTGGTTAAGAACGGGATTCCCAGTGAAAATGGACTACGACAACCCCCAATATGGGCAATATATTCCCCGAACTAATCATCAACCATGAGTTGTGTCTCCATAATCTCCATAAAATCCCATTATACACCCTGGTTGGTGTTTTCAACACCTCTGAAAAATATGAAAGTCAGTTGGGATTATTATATCCCCAATATATGGGAAATAAAAAACATGTTTGAAACCACCAACCAGAACCCCATTTATATGCCAAAAACGAGGCTATTTGGTCCTCGACTCGCCCGCCTGGTCCACCTCCATTTGCTCTTCTCGCGCAATCCTTGGCTGAAAACCGGTCTGTGGAAGTCAAACATCTCTCTCTGCAAACGATTGAGGTATAAGACATAGGGATTTGGATGATTTGGCATTGGATCGCCGCCGATAAACCATCTTCGTCACGGTATTTGTTCAATGAACAATCGACGGACGCAATGTTCATCCGATCTTGATCCATACGCAAATTTGGGTAGGCACGTTGTTCCAACCAATGATGCTGTTTCAAGAACAATATGGCGGGTCAGTTTGGTCCCATCTCATTTCCCATCATTTACCCAGATTTTTGAGACAGAGGGGAGGAACCCATATTTTTTTCTCAATCAATATGGCAATATATAACATGCAATAACTTCGCGTTTAGTTATGATAATTCACGGACTTGAAATAGACCCCATTTCGGGATGGCCTTCGGTACGAATGATCCCTGGATGAAAACGTCTTTCAACCCCTTGTAGAGAAGTGTTTGACACCTGGGATCAAAATCTCAGTTTGGGGGATGGAAGGTATAGGACACCGACAATGTCACGCCCAAGTCATGCCTAGCGTGTTTTTGAATGGCAGCTACCATTGTAAACGCGGTAATTATCCAAAAGTCATGCCCAAGTCATGCCTTAATGCTTTTCTGCAATAAACGTGTAACCGTTAGCATTTTTTAAACGTTAAAACCAAGTGAAACGCCAAGGAATGGATCGCAGTGGTGTGGCCCCTGACGATGCCAAAACGATGTCTAGACGATGCCCGAAAATGGGCCCACAGGGGAAACCCCTTCTGAACCCTCAAAATCAGTGAAAGGATTGCAGTCATGTGATCAGTGGCTTGGGCTTATGAATAGCATTGAATAGCTACAGTCAACCTCGCGCGCAGCTCTATATCAAATATAGTGTCGCTAGGTTCCAAGATGTTCCGAACCCCACTATAAACATGCTGCCAAAAGCGTGGTTTGGGACGGATCTGTGTCATGTTTGTGCTGTACTTCAGCGGCAGCTTCTAGTGGAGGTGAGCCTCGCCGTCTTACAATTGACTCAACATACCGCAAACATCCGCAAACAAGTAAATCTGCATGGTAATAGTGTTGAGTACAGTATCTCATAAGAAGAGTTACAAATAACCAGACTCCAGAGTTCCCATCATCGGAGCTTAGGGGGAAAGAAACAAGATTGAAGCAGCAACCAACGACATTTTTTCAGTCATACCCCGGTGGTATCCCATAATGATCCCCAGATTTCTATACATTTATTGAAATTTGGACATTTTGTTGGTGAAAATCCGGTTCAAACCACCAAGCAATGCTTGGCCATTCGGAGATTTTCTGGGGGTTCCTCTTACTAACCGTAATATATAAATATATCTGATTATAAAATATATCCATATACTATATATAATATAGTAATATATTAAGTATATTATCCATTCTCTATATATATATATAAGTATTATGATAATAGATATCATATACACATATCATCTGATTCTGGTACCAACTAGAAGCATGGATAATCTCCATATCATTAAAAGCCGTATCATCGATTTCCCATTGCAATTCCCCCGTGATAATTTGGGCATCAAGACCTATACCATCTATAGGGGGGATAAAAAATCGACAGCTGTCCGAGATGACAACCGCAGATATTCGTTGCTCAACTAGCGATGATACCCTCCAGTGTCATCAATTCTCGCTGGAAGAGCCACCACAAATCATCGTTCCATGATGTTCGGAGATTTCCACGCAATCGGCATGTTTGATGATCACTGATCACACCGGAGGGTAACTCATAACTCTAATGGTTGCTTGTGTGTCCCTTAAAATCTATCCCATGTTGTCACCATTAATCAACATCTATGCTTGAGTGGTTGGGATGTGCCTTCCTCTTCCTACGTCCTACGTCCGACTAACGGAAAACACCTGAGGTCTCAGCTCTTTGTACGTGGCTGTCATGGCCTTGGCGGTAGGAATGTTTTGAAAAACACAACCAACAGTTTTTCCATATATACTATCAACTGTTGGGGATATATATATATATATATATCCATAAGAAGAAAATGACCATAATAGTTACTAAATTACTATAGAGGTATATATGACCATAATGTGACAACAACCAAAATAGTTACTATAACTACATAATATTCATGATATTTAATGATTATAGTCACCCCCCCAAAAGAATCAAACTTAAATAGAACTTAGTAAATCATCCTTAAATTTCACTGGGATGAACAAACTGTTCCAACTTCTTGACTACTTTATGTGTTTATATGTTGTTACATCTACAAATACTGTAACATATATGTATTATGCATTATATGCTGTAACTTACTTGGGATACATATATACATATATAACATATATATATATAACATATATGTGTACTGTTACATCTGCACATCATTTATTAGTATTGACCTTGAATCGACTGTCGTAGACCTCGATCCAAAGAGCCAAGAAGCCAAGAACTCTTCGAAGAGCCAGCCGCCCTTCTTGTGCTTCAGCGGGTTCTGGATGCCATCCACCTATGGGATCATCAGCCGTTTCTGATCGGGATCAGCGTAACGCCGTGTTGGATGTTCTACCCGGTACTTTAAAAAGATCAGCTTAGTTGATAGTTTCACCAGATTTTTCACTGTAAAAATGGATCTTAATATGGTTCTAAATGTAATGGAAAGCTCATATTAGCTCAATACATACGGGTTCCCGAAGTCTCCTGCATCTTCCTTCGAACCAATCCCATCAGGCACTATTGGATCACGGGCGATCAGGCAGCTCCGCTGCGAATTGGTTTTCCAAGTAGATATCAAGCAGAAAAAACATCTTACCCATAGGATCCATGTATGGCATATATGCTAACATGACTGGGGTATATTGATGGTAAATGTCACCATATATAGCATACATGGATCCTATGGGTTATGGATTCTTATGGTGGCTTTCCGCCAGTTTCAGCACAATCTTGGATCATTTAAGTGTATCAAGTGATATCAAGTGGCATTAGCATCTGATAGATATCTCGTGCTGCGTTCAAATGGATCTCCAAACTGCATCTGAAGCTCGTAAGCGGCTGCTTGGCTATTTCAACTTTCAACGCCCTTGAAAAATGTCAAAGTGTCACTTGGGGATCAAACCATATCTTTGTCTGCTGAGACCACTTTGCTCTTTATATCACTTTATTGATTTGAAAGCACCAGCTCTGGCGCGTTCCGGAGCCTCAAAGTTCTTGTCTTCTTTGCGATACTTCTTGATCACAAGTTCTTGCACCTGGTGAGAACGAACCGTCTCGAACGTCCCAGTCTTGCTGAACGTGCCCAAGATCAGGAGAGTCAATGAAGCATTGTTTTCCAGAAAATTGGATGAATGGAAAATCCAGATAAAACCCCAAGATGCATAGATTGGCATAGATCATAGAATAATAATGAATCGTATTTCGTATATGTATATAATGTGTATATATATATATACATATATATATATATAAATAATTATATATATACATACATATATATATAATTATATATATATTACATATTGAGATGGTCAAATTAATTCCCTCAAATCATTGGGTTTGAACAAGCTGGGGCATGAGTCACCGGATTTTCCATCCGAACGCGCGGAAAAGTCCAGGGTGTCCAGGCGAGGGCCTCTCCAGTTGTATTTCCAGGCGAGGCACGCGCCATCAAAGTATGACAATTCCACTCACAGAACATGTTCTGGCAGTGTCTTTTAAGCAAATCTGTCCATTTCACAAAGGGTTTTGCCCTACGCACTATGCATTTGGAGGGATGTTGCCTGCCAGTCACATGGCTAGTTTCCTACCCAAAATCGGTCAATTAGTATGTCCTCAAACCTTTGGACCTCTGATTCAAAACTCACGTCTGGCAAAGCATCGCAGTTCAATTAATTCTTGTATATACATTGTATCCTGCATCATCCATGCAAAAAAAAACAAGAAAAAGGCAGAACCATGGTATGGATATCTGGGTTTGTCCAAACATTAGGGCATAATATGGCATAATTACTTGGAAAAAACACTGGTTTAAACATTTAAAAATTGCTTCTTCCCCATCATTTCATGGCCATAAACTGGGAGATAAACTATAAATTGGGAGATCAATCCCCAATTTTTATTGGACACACCCAGATCATATTGTTGGTCATATGTATATATATATATATATGTATATGTATATGTATATGTATGTATATATATATATATATATATGTATATATACACTTCTCCATCGTGGTGGTAAACATCCCCATATTTGTTGGCTAACTATAGCCTTTATCATTCGTTGGGAAAAGCCTCAAATCCAAACGGGTCGCTGGACAGTCCCATCGCCTCATTCCCATCGGTTAAAACCTTCATTCAATTTTACATATGGGAAATGGAGGATGGGAAATTGATATATATATATATATTCCTCAATCTTTTGTGGCGATAAATCACCAAATTCTTTCTGGTAATCTAACAGATTGCGACAGAACATGACTCAAAAATTAGCTCGATGACTGAACAACCCATCTTAAAAATGGTGATGTTCCAGAACTATGTTCAACTACCAGAGGGTACCCTAGGGTAAATTAACATACATGTGCAAAATCAACCATTCGCAGACAAGTTTTTTGTTTTCCTGGGGAAGCCATGGGTTTTCCACATCTATGTTACCCTCTGGTTATTTAACATAGCCATGGAAAATGGCCCATTTATAGATGGTTTACCTGGGTTTACCTATTAAGAATGGTGCTTTTCCATGGCTATGTTAAATAACCAGATGGTAAATTACCAGAGGTGTTTTTCAGGCACCTGCTTCATTGTTTGCTTTTCTCTGAAGGTCTTGGGCCGGATCTCCATCTGCCATGGGGCCATGGTTGAGATCACCGTGGCAAATTCATAGCTATGATAAATTCGAGCAAATTGATAGTTCCTCTGTTGAGATCATAGATGTTTTCAATTTTCCCATGGTCTCAAAGAGACACAAACAGTAACTACACTTGCCATCAATTACAAATATCAAACACAATACATCTGCATACATCTGTATACATCTGATTACATCTGCATACATCCGCTTACATCAACGCAAATCTGCATTGCATTTAAAACTTCTGAAAAATATACATTGCCATATCTTTGATGCCTGATTCTGCATCAAAGAAACGCACAGAGGCGTCTGTGGCCGAAACCCATCAATCAAGAGCGCATCGTTCCAGTGGAAATAGTTGGTTTGCAACTTTTCTGCTCTGATATTATTCATAGAGCGGCATTGGGGAGGTTCTTGTTAGAGGCATTTCTAATTTGGTGGTTATCAATGAAAACCTACATTATTCCCATAAAAACCCTAGTTAACTTATGATGATTATTCTTCTTGTCTTGGTTGTTTTCGCTTCTCTGGATCTTTGCTCACATGAACAGTGTCATATTCCGTGGGAGGCTAGCGACATTCTGAGACTCATTCGGCTAGCGACTGAGCCACCCATTGCAAACATGGTATTTTTTTTGCTTCAGAATCTGAATTTCAAGGAAAGGAACCTTGAAAAAGATATGATCAAATGGGTATATGTATACATATGTATTATGTATATATATATATATTACATGACCTATCATGTAATGTCATATGTATATATATATATATATGCCACATGTCAACATCCAAACAGTTACATTTTCGCCATGGCAACATGTGTTGATGACTGGCCCCATCTCTGGACTCCTCTGCAAATCCTCGGAGAAGTGCCTCCGGGCCCAGCGGGTTTACCACGGTAATGGTGATTAACCAGTAATGGGAATTAGTAATCATTAATGGTATCTGGGCAAATTATAATAATTCACTAACCTGAATTAAGGCCACCTGGGGATGATTTCCCTTACTAACCATTATTCCCAGTGAGGTCGCAGTGAGGTCGTTATAATTTACCCAGATGGTATTAGTGATAGATCCAGTAATTCCCATGATAATGATAGTAGTGATTAACCAGTAATTTACCACAGCAATGGGATTAATGATCTAATACTATCATTAGTAATTTATTCCCAGTAATGGTGATTGTATAGTGGGATTATATATTGGGATTATATAGTGGGAATAATCACCATTAATGATTTCTTGTGGGATTATATACCATCATTATATATGGGAATAAATGGCCATCATTATAGTCCCATTAGTTGATTAAAGGGGATTATACATGGTAATAATTAGTAATGAATCTAATGATCATTGGAATTAATACCACCATTATGTATCGGGAATAATCACCATTAATGTTTTTTTTTTTTTTTGTGGGATTGTATAGTGGGATGAATGGGGATTAATGATCATTGGCAAATTGGTGATTAATGATGACTTGGCATTGGGTTTCCAACATTCCGAACATAGGCAACAACAGCTTCAGTCATCTTCAGTCGACATAGTTCCTCCATACGGTGACTAGATCTTATATTCCCAGAAATGGTTTCCTAGCTTTGGGATAAACTCCAGGCCTTCGTGTAAATTCTCGCATTGACCAATCCGTTGATTCATATGTTTGGTACAAGGAAACATAATGTTGACCCCGGAGGTTGTTCAACCCTGTGGTAACCCCCCAAGTTTGAGTCAACCATGGTAGATCTTACCCCCCGGCTAGGATCATCAAACGACATGTACGGTGCAACTATCTAGCAACATCTGGATTGGATATACTTCACCCATTGTATCCCATTACCATCCACTGATCCACTGTTCTGTTTCTCAAGATCACCCAACAATATACTTCAGCCCCATACTTTGATGGCTTAATTCCACAACAGCTGCGAAAAGTCAGAACCAGTTCTGGTTGGTTGTGAACCCATGTTTGGGATTTTAGGGATAAGCTACCAGTTCTTGTTACTTAAAAACCCAGCTGCATCTTTGAAGGATGGAACTCGTGAAGCATGTTGCTAGCTTTCGCCCCCGTGTACCTTGCTGCTGAGGTGACCGGGCGTCGTCTCGGAGTGCTTCAGGAAGCAATTAATGATGGAATCCTGCTGGAAACTGGGATTCAATGCATGTGTGGGAAAAAAAAAATACAGAAAATAAGTGGTAGCAACAGATGTAGTAACTACCTTCAATTTTTTGCGGGCTAACCCTGGATTGTACAAGTTTTTTCAGGAATTTTGCAAGCCGGGATGGGTCGTAACAGTCAAACGTCCTCCGAAATCTGTAATTTGCAGGGCCATTTTTGCAGCCGGAAGTTGGGGATACGCCGCTGTCTCGGGGCCCAGTTGGATGAGCGTTCGGAACATCTACGGGACAGCTTCGAAATGTCAACATCTTATCTATTCATACATGACTATATATGTAGATACATGTAGATACTATATATATTATTATTACTAATTATTATTATTATTGTTATTATTATTGTTATTATTAATTATTATTATTATTAATAATAATTATTATTAAATGTATATATATATATTGTATATTATATATTATATATACACATGTATGTATACACATTGTATATAACAGCAACATTATGAATGCGTCTGCATACATGAACACGCCTTCTCTGGGATGTTCATCTTGATGATGGTCACCGCATGATCCAAGATATCCTGGGCCACTGGGGAATCCAATGGGCGCAGGGGTATATAAAGAAACCATACTTCATGATTTAGCTCGGAAACTTAATGTATATTAATTGAATATCATTGGATACTTGTTGGGGATTTAATATGATTTAACGCGAATACAATGGGGATAGAATAGGATCCAGAGATCCAGAACCAGCACTTAGACTAAGTGAGTTACCCTCTGATACTCATGGCTGGAACATCGCCCAAATGGAGCTTGTAATGGGAAACATATGATTTAACACATGGGAAAAATCATCAAATGGCGGATATTTCCCAGATGACTTCGGCGACTTGGGGATGATTTCCCTAACTTTCCATGAATGGTGAGGTCAAATGGGGTCTCTTTGATCTACTCAGATTCATCTTCGGTTCAAATTCTGGTTTCGTTGGCCTGGTGATACCGGGTATCAGAGCATTCTGTTGCTTCACATCCCTAGAGTGTCCTTATTCTCCGCAGGGGTGGTTCAAAATACTCATCTCACAGGGCTGGTGATCTATGTCCATGTGAACATCATCCGCATGAGTCCGCATGCGCAGACCAACACTTGGGAGGCTGCACAATTGAAGTGTGAGAGCCAATTGTTCCATCCAGTGCTCCCACATTCCAAGTCTAAGTTCTCAAATTAAATCATCTTGAGTTGGTTAATATCCCACCTTAATCCATCTTAATTTTGTTTCATGTCCCAGCATTTTCATGCTGAAATTCCCGCTGAAAAATTCCCGCTGAAAACACAACCCGAAACGTCGTCAATAGCCATCGCCCAGTCCTGCAATCGCTCTTCTTCATCAGGGCGAGAATACCTCAGGAATCTCGTCCATAGCTGGACAGGATTTCGTCACCAAAAACATCCAAAAACTCTCGTCCGTTGATGCATCATTGGTGGTACTTTAGTTGTGCTTCTGATAACACGGATGATTGGTGGAAAGTCTAGTTACTTCTTGATTTTGGCTCCAGTTTCATGGAGCAAGATAATGTTAAGAGATGTTAAGAGTGGTGATAATTCAAGATCGCCAGAGCTCCCACTTATGCTACACCTCCTAAGTCATTTAATGTCACAAATGGATATAAACAGGGATTCCAAATGTTCAACGACAAGGCACAGCTGATCCACTAGATTGTTAGATTTGCACCTCCGAAACTGGAGAATCGTCTTCCAAAGCCCATCTCAAGTTCCATGGTCGCTTCCAGAGCCTATTTGTTCCCTTGCGGACAAGAGGATGTTTTTGAGTTCTCCTTCAATGTCACCCTACTGTGGCGTCAACCAGTGCATAGTCTTTACATCAGTTGCAGGTCCCTCTTCTAATCCGCAAGTAGGATGCTACGTAGTGCTTGAACAAATCTTGGTGTGGAAAGATCCCTCAAACTATAAGGATATATATAAGGATTCTTAGTAAGTGGTGCATATCATGGCGTAGAACCCCCAGAAGCTGGGATAGATGCAAATATCAAATGTACTATGACATATCCCTACACTGTGTAGCCAACTTTTCCGGGGATGGTTGCAGATCAAAACGAGCCTTCTCATACTGGCTCCTTGCCCCTTGAACATCCTTAGGCGCAAGAGTTTGGTCAAAACATGGCCAGGGACACAATGGGATTTCATGGGATATCACGAAGAAATCATGAGTTGGGGTGTTCAACATATAATATCATATAATGTTGGAGCATCAACAAAACCAGTCACCATGGCACACAAATACGACCCGACGTAGAAATGCTGGACCTTGGACCGACTCAAGATTCATAGAGCTAGAAATTCGTACCGGTTAATGATTCAAACCGATAAACCGCCCATGTCTCACAGTATATACTGTATTATATATATATGTAATTTGTTTCATTTCACCATCCAATAATGTTCGATCATCTAATCATTTACACATACAACTTAAATAATAATGTCATATATATATATATATATACGGAACCCCAAACAACATTGATCATCTACTTCATCCAAATCTCCTGTTTCAAAACAACCCCAGTCCGCTTGGATTTCTAGATTCTCCATCAGGTCGATCCCTATTTCTGGTTGGTAAAAAGACTATGACTCAAGGATGATGAAAAATCCCACGTGGTACACCATTATTGTTGGTTACATATCGCAATATATACCATTCTTCGTGGTTAAAAACCCGTAGTAAATGACGGTTATACACAAATCAAACAACCATAGATGATACCAAAATCCATGAACATCCCGGCCAACAAAACACACACGAGTAGTACATGAAATGGGTTTGTCTGAAAGTAGGGTACCCCTGAATCCCTTGTTTTCCATATTGAATGACAATTTTACGGGTATATATTGGTATACCCTATTTTCAGACAGATCCAAATGATTGTAAAATCCCACTGGGGATGGTATAGTAGATGCCAAAATAGTACTAAAATCCATCCAAAATCCCAAATTTAATTCGGAATAATTATATTTCATAGATTTTTATACTAGTTTAACATGATGGTAAATTATGATTATATATACATATATAACATGATGGTATTTAGGACTCACTATTGAAGTTAACCAATTTTTGGGAATATGATTGCTATGATAACCAATAATTTAACATGGATTATTTTTGGGATGGTACCATTTTTATGGTTTACCCTCTAGAATAAACATTTACGTAATGGAAAATCACCATTTTTCATGGCTAAATCCACTATTTCGACGAACGGGCCATTTTCAATAGCGAACTGTGGCAGTTTACCAGAGGGTATATCCCATTCATATCCCATTTATAGATGGTTTACCTATAAAAAATGGCAATTTTCAATAGCGATATGTAACAAATTACCAGAGGGTATAGCCCCGTGGTCCATCATGGTCCCATCATGGTCCCATCATGGTCCCATGATGGTCCCATCCCAGGACATCCCAGGCACGAGGTCCGTGGTGTCCGCTTGCGCTGCGACGTTACCGCCGAGGCGAGATCGCTGATGAGGTCGTTTTCGGGCGGCATCCTGCAATGAAGTCGGGCGCCGTTGATGGAAATGTAGGTTTTTTTTTGGGACCAATGACCCATAGGATCCATGTATGGTATATATATATAACACTGGGGGTATATTGATGGTAAATGTCACCATATATAGCATACATGGATCCTATGGGAATGATGATCAACGCCAGATGTTCGGATTTCATGGAGATTAATGGGGGGTTTTAGTGGGGATTCAATGGGTTTGAAATGGTTTGAAATGGTTTGAATGGCGGGATTTGACGGAGATTTGATGGGAAAAACATAGGGACATTTCATGGCCCATGACGGATCCATGGTGCTGCTATATATGGTAACATGGATCCCATCAATATACCCCCTTTATGTTAGAATATATACCAGCACCATGGATCCTATGGATGGGGATTGATGGAATATAGAAGCAACAATTCGACTTACCCTCTGGTAATCCAAGGTGGCTGCGAAATCACCGAACCAAATGGAGCTTGTAATCCGTTGCGGAGATGGAGTGCCGGGTAACAGAAAAAGACGTAACAAAATGCCGAAAACGAAAGATTTCTCCCTTTCCTTGTGTATCATTTCCCCTGTACTTTTTCTCCCGTTTCCTTTTTGACGACATTTTCTATTTGATGCCTTCTGCTTGCTTTGAGGATCCCACCGATGAGGTCTCCCAATAACTGTTTTTTGGGGCCCGAGGATGACTAAACAAACATTGATGATCTCAGATTCTGGGTGGATACGTCTCCATCGACACTTCGGTATGTGTATATTCATGTAATTTCATATACATGCCAATCAAAAACATGCAGTTTCTTCGGGGAAAACCATCAAGATCCTTCATGATGTGTCTGTTTGTAACTGCCAAGTCATTCAGCAATTGAATGGGAGGAAAACCTTATTGTATTGCGTTCCTCAGTTTCGAACACACCTTGATAGACATATATTCGTTGCTATTTGCTCACCCTTTCGTCATCTTATAGTTCTTATATGTGCTTATATATATATATACACATTGATATAACTTTTTACCCAAAGCATTGATAAGTATATATAGATGTATACAATTTATCACATCCAACAATAAAATTGAGGGATGGTAATGAAACCTTCCCTCGGTGAGGGAGATCTGCCACACACACATTTTGTTTCGGATGGTCGAAGTGGCTCTTAACCGGCAATAAGCCAACAGTTATGGAAATTTCGATCTCTTTGCTGGGTGAATTTGTCAGTATCATCTTATATAATCTTATATATATATGATATATCAATATATATATATATGGGGATTTTGATCTATAAAATTATGTTGAGTTATGTTGAGTCATCAAGTCCACAGCGGCACGGCACGATTTGGGTGGTTGTCTTTGGTTTGTTTCGTAGTGAGCGACAAGTGGTTCCGTGGTTCCAGAGACCTGAAACCAACACCAATCCACTTGTATTGCTACACTAGAAACAGTATATGTATATGAACATTCTACCCTCTGGTAAACTAACATAGCTATTGAAAATGGCCATTTATAGTGAGTTTTCCCATTAAAACTTGTGATTTTCCATAGTTATGTTAGTTTACCAGAGGGTAGTTAAAAATATGTTAAATTTGATGAGCCACAAAAAGATATGCGCGATTCCGCAAAAAAACAGTGTTCGTATATTTTAGTGAGGAATGATTTCCAATCTTGAAGCAACAATAGCCATCCACGTGTACAATCCCTACCAGGAACTTTAGTTCAACTCCCATATCCCAGAAGATCCCTTGTTTTTGTTCCTGAACAGAAAAAACAGCTTCATTGGTTGCTGGAACCTCCGCATTTGGACACAACTGCAACCCACCCAGCCTTTCTTCTCCGTCTGTCTGCGCTCTGCTCATCTTCCTGGCTTTGTATTGGATCTATTGATACTTTTTTGGGGCCCGTATGGGCCCACATGGGGGAATCATGATTTGTGTGGTGATGGACTGTATCAAAAGTCTCACCACCCACAAGTCAAAATATCAAATGGTGCGTTCCTACAACAAAAACATACTGAACGCGAATGATGTTTAGGCAAGTTTGCCCAATGTTCGAATCAAACCCACAACAAGTACATGTTATGCTGGTTTCTACCCTCCAGTTAATGAACACAGATATGGAAAAGCCACCATTTGGAGATCACTTTCCTCGGGAAACAATGGGTGTTCTATATCTGTGTGAGTTCACCCAGGGGTAGACACTATTTGGGAACACTGACCCTACAGGTTTCTGTATGATTTTGACCCATGCCATAACTCACATCAGCAGGTCAAGAATCTATTGCACCATCTTCGACAGACTGGTTGGTCAATGGGGGTTATCACTTCTCCCACCTTATCGAAATTCGATACTCCCCAAATCCTCCCCAATGTTTTGGTAATATACTCATCCTAGCCCCTACTCATCAATTCATTGGTTCTTAAGTTTTGTTGAAACTGACTCCCCCGCCTGGTAAATCTCCTCTCCATATTGGTGCTCATTCTTCTTCGAGCACCTTCCTGCCATCAGCAGAACAAAAAAAAAACGCCGCTTCGGATGCATAGTTTATTCATTATTTATTCTATGAAACCGAGAACACAATTTCTGGCTGCCATCTTTAGGAAGGATGTGTTGTTTTTTGTTTTGGATGTTGTTTTTGTTTTTTTGCGGGTCCCTTAGATAGTTCCACTTAGTCTCCATCACCTTGATCGTCAGCCAGGGCGTCTCCAGGGTTCACAGATGGCCTGTTTCACAGAAATCTACCTTCTTGATCCCCATCTCAGAACAACACTGAAATAATTATATAATGGTAATTCAGTAATATTTTTATTAAGTAATAATCATAGTATATATGGGATTAATCATTAATGCAAATCCCATAATAATCTTGCAATTATATAATTGTTTTGTGCCTAGTTCCGTTTGCGAACTTCGTTCACCCTTTTTTGTTTTCATTCGTTAAACATGTCAAACAAATTCAAACAGAAAACACTTTAAAACTTCAACCCACATGATCTCCACATATCTCCTCCTCCTTTTTCTTTCGATCTTCCGTCTTTTGCAGCAATCTCAGCGCCCACGCAGAAGGCCTGGTGCCAGCCATTGCATAATGGGAAACCATCAATTTTTTTTCCATTGCCTATTTTCAGACACACCCATAAAACATGGAAAACGTCCTGGCGGTGTTTTTTGCGGTCGACTTGTTCACAATGGTGCTTGAGTGCTTGATGAGCCATGGCATGCCATGGCTTCATGAAAACTGGAGAAAGATCATTCGAGATGCCATGGGGGCAATCCATCATATTTCTTGTACCCTCTGGTTATTTAACATAGCCATGGAAAATGGCCCATTAATAGATGATTTTCCCATTAATACCTCCATTTATAAGGAATTCTCCATGACTATGTTAAACAACCAGATGTTTATTTGATAAAACGTGTTCAAAACTGCGACTGATGATCTTTTGATTTTTTTTACAGTACCTCAGAAGGCGTGTTTCTCTTGAATCCTACCGTTCTTCTGCCAAACCGTCAGTAAAGCAAACATAAACAGGTCCATGCGTAGTCCTCATATATTCTCAGGATATGTATAATGATATCTTTATAATATGGACACCATCTTTCTACATATCTACATAACCCTTTGAGAGAAGATACATTTCGATAATCTTAGATACATAGATACATGATGATACATGGAATATGCAAATGTACTCGATATATCTACAAATCCTATACCCTTTATCTGTATCTGGGCCCAGCTGGGACTGATTTTTTTCGCCATCCCTTTGGTCAAAGTCACTGAGAGCTGAAGTGCGCTACAACCTAGCGGAAGGCCATTGAAATTGCAAGCGTTGGCCATTGTCTTGGTCAATTTCAACCAAAACGCTTGGATTTCGTTGGGTAACCTAGGGTAAACTAATTGAACAGTCCATAAAAATATTGGATCTCATAATATCTCATAATGAAATCGTGGAAATTATCCATTCCGATATTTCACCGCTTTGGAACATGTGAATCATGAGTCTTTTCCCAATATGAACATCTGGGTTCCAAGGGTTCCAAGGGTTCCTTCCAACCATCGGATCCATCGGCTGGAAAATTCATCAAACGACACTGTGATGGCCTGAGATGGCCATTCCAAACGAATTTTGCCGTCATTTGGATAGCCTCTGGTAAATCAGCATAGCTGCTATAGCTCTGTAGTCATTGTGCATTTTAAACATTTTTAAATCGCGTCACTAAAAACGCCAAAAAGAAGCAACTCGTCTGCATTCGTTGTTGGTGGTCTCAACCCACAAATCTCTATATATATATATCTATATCAGCCAGTGCAACCGTCCATGGGGCAAGAGTCAAAGATATCTACTACAGCAAATTGCATTATAATTAGATCCTCACATTCCTGAAACCATCTAAAACCCAAATCATGTTCTTGGTCGCATCTCCCTTATTATCCTGTTATGTAGCCACAAAATACAGCTACATATCCCACTAGATCCCACTATCCTATCAACATAGTTGTGTATTCCAAAATATCATATAAATTGTCCCCATAAAACGGTGTACATAGAATCCACAAAACATGGATTTGGATAAAACATGCCAGAAATGTTGTGTACTGTACCCCATTGTACCATGCTTTGTCCTCAGTTTCCCCATTAAAAACGCTTGGTTTTACTTCATACAAGGTGATGCACAGTTCTAAATTGGTTTATATATCTGTGTAAGTATCAATAATGTATGGATAGCATAACCCCTACTTAACGTAATGGACTAAACCAATTTAGCTAACGATTGGGGGCACCAACTTGTCCATCACTTTGTCGGTGAACTTACAACTGATTGGTGAAGATATAAGTTATTGAAAATATTCCTTTCAAATAATTATTTGACACACATGAAACCACCAACGTAAAAAAATGTGTCAAACAAATAAACAGCATCACCACCAACATCACCAACATCACCAACACCACAAACATCGCCAACATCGCCAACATCACCAACATCACCAACATCACCAACATCACCAACATCACTAACATCACTAACATCACTAACATCACTAACATCATCATCATCACCACCATCATCATCATCATCATCATCGTCATCGTCATCCTCATCCTCATCATCATCATCACCATCATCATCACCATCATCATCATCATCATCGTCATCATCGTCATCCTCCTCCTCATCCTCCTCCTCATCATCATCAAACTATTATTATTCATCATCTGAAATAACATTCAGTCATTGGAGTCAACATAAACATGTGCCAGATCGCCAAACTATGCTATATTGGTTGTGGTCATCCATTATCCATCCCATTATGGCAATCACAATCAGTATATCAAATTCCTATGGATTGATGACCGTCACCGAATTTGCAATCCAACATATCCAACTATTGACCATCGCACATACGAACATGTTGGTGGAGAACATCATGGGCTTGTGGGGCAATAATTACCCCGATACCAGTGGTTGATCTCAGTATGTGTTTGCATACATACAGCTCGGCGATTTGGGGGTTTCAATCCACCATTTTCAGAGACCCCCAAATCGTCTCAAGTTGTTTATCCTATTCTATCCCCAGCAGAATTCCATATTAAAGCCAAACAAAAACAAAAAAGGCTATGAGTCAAAACCCTGGGAATGTAGGTAATTACCCTAAAATAGCTGGTTAATGGATCTTTATCCACCCAAACAGGTTTTGACCCATCCCCAAATGACGCCAGGCCCCTTAGAGCCCGGCAGGTGGAGGCGGCCAGGGCTTGTTGTGGGACCACTTGGGCACCACCGCCAGGCCAAACTTGGCCGCCTTCTCGGGGTGAGCCTTCACCTGCAACGAGGGCGACCAGGGCCATGGGTCCACGTGGGAGATTGTACTGGAACATGATGGGAAAATCTGGACGCATATGGGGATTTCTTGAAAAACCACGAATATTCATCGGAAGAGATTGAGGCCATATTTTGGAACATGATTTTTGAGTAACCGTAAACAGTGAATTTTGGGAGAATGGATTTGGTTGAAGAGGTTAGCCCGGAATGGAGTAAGTAAGGGGATTAATTGAAAAAGAACAAGTTATGGGAATCTGGAATCTATAATAGCTGAATAGTGGAATCGGAATATTGAAGCCTCCCAAAAGCCACGTCGTAGAGCCATTAATTATTTGGATCCCTGAGATGCGTGCTGAATGTGTCTGAATTTTCTTGGGTTTAAGCAACAACGAAGCTTTGACAGGGGTGTAGCACCAACCATTTGACAGGGGTAGTTGTGTTTGTCATTGTTTGTTTGAACATATGGGACGTACCAGCAAATTTTATCAAATTGGCCATAGAAAAAGTGAGGAAACTGATTCATAATCATGAGATTCCTGATCATTGCGTTGAGAGATTGCAAATATCCACTGAATCCATCCCGGTCCAGCCCTTTTCGTTGATTCTCAGCTGCTGATGTCTTCCAACGATCTGGGATATCCATGAGAGCAAACACTTCTGTGGTTTCCCCTCAACTTGCAAACAGCTTGATGAAATAGTCCCATAATTCAACAAACATGGTGATTCAAGTAATCATCATTGAGATAAGGTGCTAGCACCAATGCTGGGACATTTCAACAAGAAAATTTAAAACGGTAAACTAGCGCAAACACAATTGGTAATAGAGAAGTGTTTAACAAAGCCAGTTTGTTAAGATCTCGTAGGACTGCAGTTCTGTACAATGCTGCTGCATAGTGTGTTCGAATCTGTGTTTCTCATGCAGAGGAAGGATATATACCATCTGGTTATTTAACATACCATGGAAAATCCCAACCATAAATGGAGGTTTCTAGCTGGGAAAATTATCTATTTCTATGGGCCATCTATTACCATGGCTATGTCAAATAACCAGAGGGTATATATATATATACATATATATATATATAAATATATATATATATATATAAATATATATTACAGTGATATTGTGCTGCCATGCGGCCATAAAACCAATCAAAACCACTATAAACTAATGTGTTCATTCAGACTGCCAGGCCAAAAGGGGAGAAACTCTGCTCAAGTCACGTTCGTCACGTTCCTGCAGGGTATTGTAGAATCTTGTAGAGTCTATGTCCAATGATAGCCAAACAATACCAACATTTTAAACCTATTACAGGGATGGCTCCGAATTTTTGACACCAAACATGTGATGGTTTCAGCACCTTTAAAAACTGATGAGCCACTTCTGGGTCAGTAGCCTCCAATTTCTAGCGCCAAGTTTCAAAGGGTTTCCTGGGCATTTTCCTGATCAAATCTCCATCCATCCAGCTCTTTTGGTGAGGACACCCTTCTGTTTTAGGATTGAACAACCATAAAAAAGACGCATATTTTCAATAGTTCAACTTCAATCTGCAGCGGTTCAACCCTTGATTTCAATGGCTAAAGTTAAATTGCAATGTTTAGTAGTTTTTCATAATCTTGTTAGCTCCCTTATCCTTGGCTCAAGTCAACATGTTCCTGGTCTTTCCAACCCGTTTTTGGTACTTCCAAATCCCTAGTGGCCCTAGTTCCAACCGCAAGACTAGCCCACTGCGAGCCGCACCATCTTGCCCAGGGTGCTGTTGGCCAGCACCTGGCTCAAGTCCAACCATCTGCAGCTGGGAGGAAACTCTCTGCATTGGCAAACACCTTGGATGTACGTACCTGTACGTATGTATATGTATATGTGTACAGTGTGTATATATATATATATACACATGACATACAGTGTACATATTGTATAATATATATATATAGATAGATTTAAGACACATACTAGATCATACAAGTAGTAATATAGTTTGACCGTCACTTGACCCACACAGTTGAAATATCGAAACCCAAGATATAAGAGGCCATTTTGGGGGATTTAAGCAGCAAAAACAATTGTATACAGCCATAATTTGCATCGGCAAGAGCTGTTAACTAATTGCAAAAGGAAGCAACAACACTGAGAGTGCATCCATTGTAAACACATCAAAAAATCATCCAAAATCATGAGGCTGCGGCCTTTTTTTTTGGGACACAAGACCCCACCACATGTTGACAAACAATTTACCCCTATGCCTCTATGATTTAGCAAAGATGTTGGAATGTCAAAACAGTCCCCCGGTCTGGAGTCTGGAAGATGTATCCATCAACCAAGCGCCTTACCCTGAAACGCGCCTCTCTGAAACGCGTCTGTTGAATTTTGGAGCCTCAGGCTCTGGCGTGAATCGAGATCAATTCAAAGGTGCTTGCACCCGTTGTTGTTTTGGCTCAATATGGTTCAATGCTCCTACTTCTTTCTCATTTCTGAGTGATAGAACTTTGCGACTGGCACAGAAACAGCAGTTAACATAGATGGATTTCCAACATGAACCGTTGCGTTTTCACATGTTTCTGCTTTCGACATGTTTTAATGTCTTAAAATACTGTTTCCATCTCCAACATCCCTTGGGTGATCCCACTCAACACACAGGTTTCTGAAACACTATAATTATACGTAGGTTTTCCTTGTTGGCAAATAACATGATGATTACATGTTTGATCACTGACAACCAGCATTTTGGGACAGGCTATCAGTTATCTAAATTGAACACGTATGAATCTGAGGTTTCTAGTGGCGCCATCCAGAATGCCCGACGGTGAGGTTGACGGAGAGGTCGACGGAGAGGTTGACGGATCCGTCAAAGTGTCCGTCAAGGTGTCCGCGGCAAGAAATAAGGCAACTAAATGCAACCGGGGTACGACAAAGTTCCAAGCTAGGATTCTAAGGGGAGAAGGTGTGCAGAAGAAGAAACGCAACAAACGCAACTCTTGTCTTACCACTAGTGTATTTGGGGGATGTTTTCATATACCTTCACCATATCATATCTCGTATGTTCCATGGTCAAGTCAAGAACTGAAATAGGTAGTCTGGCCATCCATTCCACAATCTGACATTATTTACAATGGGTAAATCAATCCGTATTGGATTCATGAAGTGATGAACCATGACCCTATATTTGGTTTACCTTACCTCATCCATCGTTTGAATATGGCACACACACAGACATGCATCAGATGTATGCATGCATGTATATGTACAGTTCATATATGTAGGATTGTTGGAGTACCCTCATGTACCCTCATTACCCCGGGGTTTATCAGCTCTTATGTATTGGTATTCTGTTGAGAGGTAAGAGTACCAGCACTATACGCCAGACACATCCAAAAAGCATTAAACTGGTTATATATCCCATTACATATCCATTAAATACCCATCAAAAATCTTCAAACCAGCACGCATCTATTGCTAGTTGAATAATGTTAAATAATAATAACAAACAAAACACAATAAACATAAATATACAGTTAAATAATTAGTGTTAAATAATAAGAAAAAACAATAAACATAAATATGATATCCCAATTATATCCCCATGTAAGTTGGTTAAACCATATCTCCACGATATCCCCAGCTTTTCTGCCCTCGCCACGCGGCTCAATTTGCAGCTCTTGGCTGCGCTGCTTAGCATAGCCTTGGGATGGTGGCCAATTTGTGGCCAATTTTACAAGGTGGGGGTCCTACTTGCCTAAGTTGGCTTTTATGTATAATATAATATAACAAAGTCTTATGGTAGATATACCATTTATACCATGATACATCTATGAGTTAATGAGGTTATACACCTTCGCCCCAGAAGAAAATAAGTGACCAGTAGTCTTCATAGTCTTCCAACCCCTATTTAGAAGCATCTCTGTGAATTGGGTGGATGGTAGATCCCTTGCAACAACGTGTTCATCTTTGGCTGAAGAACGCAAGAACGAGACGAAAGATTAAACATAACGAGAAAAACAACAGGAAGAAGAACGATAAGAAACCAAACGCAAACAAAAATAAGGAGAATAAAAAGAACAAGAAGTGGATCATGAACAACAACAACAACAACAACAAAATAAAGAACAAGAACTAACAACACATTAAGAACAAGAAGAACCACAAGACCAAGAACAAGAACAAGAACAGGACAAACCACAAGGACAATGATAACCATAAATTAGGGACACAAATAAATCAAAATTACAAATTAGCTAAGAATCACAACAAAAACTAAGAACAGCAACAATAGCAAAAATAACAACAATACATATAAGAACAACAACAACAACAACAACAACAACAGAAACACAACAACAAGAACAACAACCACAAAAAAAAACAGAACAAAGAACGACACGGACAACGGCAACGGCAACAACAACAAAAACAACAGCTACAACGGCAACGGCCACAACAACAACAACAACGACAACAACAACAACAGCAGCAACAACAACAACAACACCAGCAACAACAACAGAAACAACAAAAACAACAACACCAACAACAACAACACCAACAACACCAACAACAACAACAACAACAACACCAACAACACCAACAACACCAACAACACCAACACCACCAACACCACCAACACCACCACCACCACCAACAACAACAACAACAGCAACAGCAACTGCAACAACTGCAACAGCAACTGCAACAACGACAACGAAAAGCACAACACACAACTCAAACACAAAATCTGGACCAAACAAATACTATCTATTAATTACTAGCCTGAATGAAACAGAACCAGAGAAGGCTTTTATGCTCTAACTGGTCTCCATGACGCTTAGGTCTCACCATCCCAATCTTTAACCGCTATGTTTGTGTCAGAAAAATAACATCAGGGGTCCCAACGGTTGTTTTTGTTCACGTGCTGGAAAGTAGCCTTCTTGGCTGGTTTCTATGTCCTTAAAAAAAGGGGGCCCTTTTCTGGCCAGGTGGCAGCTAAGGAGTCTCGAGCAGCTGGCGCCTGGGGGGTTTTGGCACGTGAAACATGTGGACAGCGCAGCCACCACAGCTATCACCAGCTTTCACTGAAAACATGAATCAACCAAATGGGGATGTTGATGAACAAGGAAAGGGAATATCACCAAGATAAAGGTTCTGGGTTAAAAATTGCAGAAATGGGTGCGCACAGGTTTAGGTGGTTGTTGAAGATTAATCATCCCTGGTGTCACTGAAAGAAAATTACATGTTCATTCTAATATGAACCCCAATCACTAATCCTGCGTTTTTAGAGGTTTTTAGTATCTGGTATTATTCATCGCTCATGTCCTTGGGAATTCAAATCCGGTCCCGATTCCCAAATGATGTCATTTTTGGAGGCACGGTCACATCGGATCCCCCAAGTTATATCCCAGGTCACGTCTGGTTGCAACCACCCATAGAACGGCCTCCTCCTCCTCCGAGCTTTCGGAAGGCCTGCTGCTCAAAAACAAACATCATTAGAACGGGGATAAAAACAAATTGGGGTAGAACCGAGTTCTGATTGGTGCCATGTTTTTTTTTTTGCAGCATCCAGCGCAATTTCATTTACACGGAAAGACCAGGGGAAACTGGGCCTTGAACTTCCCCGTGTCTGCCAGGAGGAAATGAAAACACAATTTGATCAGACCATTCTGAAACAACGGCACCGACAAAAAAAACAACAGGATATGGGAACCTTCAAGTTTCTGCACAAGACCAGTGTCTACCTAGGGCGTGGTGGCACGTGGTTTATCTGCATATGCAATGCCAAGATACACACTTGCTTCCAAAATTGGGCCTTTCGACTTTTGATATTTCCTACAATGCAAGAAAACGAATTTAAGGCACCAAACATAACTGGTTGTTTTGGAAGCCCTCAAAAAATTGTATAAAAATACTATATAATTAATCAGGTAGGACGGAAAGAAACAAATGCCAAACCACGAACCAAACAGTGAATTTCACCATGCTTCCATCTTGAAGAATGAATCTCATCAGCGCTAAAAATTGCCGGACCATTTCATGGCCAGGGCTGATCTCAGGATCCACACTGAGGCGTGTTGTCTGTCTCCATGGAATAAAGTGATCTTGGGCTACCTGAGAGGCAAGACCAAGTGGATCAATGCGAACCTCAAAACTGTGACAGTGCATGATAAATGTAATTTTCCTTGGAAAACATCATGGTTTTGAAATTTTAAGGATCCAAATCAAACAGTGCACGATAGCTTGTATCACGGGGATTTCACCGCACTGGAACAACTGTTCTGTGGCCAGTTGGTGTATTGGCACTCAAAAAATGCCTGGTTTGTTCAACAAAATAACCCAAAAAACAATTATACGCAATTTAAAGCACGCCAATTCTGAATGGGGTTTGTCAATCCAGAATTTGGGCACATGCATGCGCAGATATGACAGCAGAACTGAGCCATCCAATCACTTCGGTTCCGGAAAAAAAAACGCCTCGAACACGGATAGGAAATGGAGGCACACCACACCAAATGTCCTCTTGATCATGTGACTTTGTTGTGTAATTTTTATTGGAACAAATGTCATTTGCTTGTCGCTCGAAAGTATCTACCCTGAGCAAGTCGCTGGATTGACCTTAGCATGATCAGTTATGTGGGTGCATCAGTGATACTTGATTGTTGAACCATACCCTCTATAAAAGAAGCAGAGAAGGCCTACACACTTACAATGCCGCCGGGGCCGCTTGGAGAAATTGCTGCGCTGTCTCCTTTCATCTCCTGGAGCGACAACCCGCGCGCTGCCCGTGCGCATGAGCAGATGCTTCCGCTGTAAAAAGCGATTGGAATTCTCTGGGACACGCCATGGGGTTGGTTCTGATGTGCCCTCTCCTTGCCTGGTGTGTCCAAAACCGAGCTGAGCTGTATTGAGATATGATTTGGGAAATCTTGGGAAGTGAATGCAAGGAATTGCACACTATGCCACGAGGCACATGGGATTGTAGATGGGCTCTTTCTTGGCCGGCCGCAAAATGTCTTCAAAACAACGCACAATTTGGAGGAAAACGCATCCAGCTCTGGGTCTCAAGTCCCACCGTGACACCGAGTTCTGAAGCAGTGCTACGCCATGGGGTCACCGCTAAAAGAGCTGAGACGATACCGCGACTGTGACGCTGTGGAAAAACCAAGCCCCAAAAAGCAGCCTGCAATCCCGAAAGGAAACGGCATAGACTCAAAAGTTGTTGGGGACCTGCAGTACAGCTGCCAAGAAAAAACAAACAAAAGACAATAATACCCAGAATCCCAAAATGAAAAACTAGATCTTGCTATATTCAAACCCCGTGGTGATATTTCGAGCAAAAAACGTTTTTTTTCTATGTTATCGTGTTGTGCAGTAGTATACATAACCTGTGTATATATATATATATACATAAATAAATAAATAGATAAATTAATGAATAAATAAATGAATGAATAACTACATAATGTATATATATATACACTATGCGTATATAAAGAATTGGATACACATAGATATAGACATACATATTGAAATATGCATGTATACATACACATGAGGATCTTCTTGGTGCTTCGGTCCTAGACTGAGTGACTCGACTTTCATGGAACCATGGCTGATTAGCTGATTGGTCTTATTCACCAGTCCATGATGGATATGTCAACATTTCAACGAATCATCGGGGTATTTATAAAGGTAGTGAAATGTTTCATGTGAAGATCAACTGTGAAGACATGGGATGTCCCCAAACCTGTTTGGTGATCTTTAACCACCCCAAACAAAATCGACTTTTGTCCACCCCCACAAAAACACATGGGATCGAAAGCCACACACCATGGTATCCACCGTCTATCTTGGCCATAGTTGAGAGAACAGCCACTGGTTGATGGTGCCAACCCATCAACCAGAGATGGCAAGTACACACACATACATTTTAAAATAATTTAAAATATATACATTGTACATATGATAGGTTTGGAGGTAGGTGTGGATAGACGATCTTTTGCTGTCGAGTACAGTACCTCGAATTTAGGATGTTTGTTATTAACACATACCCACGTAGACCTAGCAACCAACTCCAGCTGAATTGTCAAACTGCCTTGCCTTTGGTGACCTCTAGTCAGGATATTGATTGTCATCTACCATCGTGTTATTTCTTTACGCAGAAACAGATGAAGGATATTTGGCGGTCCCGGAATTTAAGGTTATAGTGGTTGTTAATTGTTGATGCTCAGCCCAACAGCTCCGACCAAACTCGATTCACCGTTTCCGGTCGAAAAATCCTTGCAACTTACCAGGTTACCAGGAACTGAAGCTTATTCCTTAGCATGGAAGCAATAGTGATGACCATGGTCAGACTGAGATGACCATGGTGGGGATGTCCAATCGCATGGCCATCCAATTCTCCATGACTCGATCTATGGACGTCCTCACAATTTGCAATCGCTAAATATCGGTAAATCTCTTTTATATATATATATATCATATTATATCATATGAATATATATATATATATATATACATATATATATATATAAGTTATATTATATATATATGGACATGGAGCATTTTCCATAGCTATGTAAAAATTACCGGAAGGTAGTTGATTTATTATGATGAAATGGGTTGCCCTGATGCTCACCATGCATCAGCCCACGATCTCCTGGTCCTCTTGCTGTCGACCTGCACGACGATTCGTGTGTCTGGGTGTCTGGGAGCCATTCTCCTGGAGAAATGGTAATTCTTGGGTGATCTTCATCACTGGCGATTTGAAATACCCTCTGGTAAACTAACATAGCTATTGAAAATTGCAATTTATAGTGGATTTACCCGTATAAAATGGTGATTTTCCATAGTTATGTAAGCGTTTACCAGAGGGTATCTCGAAATCACCAAAGAAGTCTTAATATATGTCGAGTCTATGTGGCTCCAAGTGAATCTAGGCCCAGCCCCCCTTGGTCGGCCTGCTGGAAGGTGAACCAGCTGCCGAAGCGCTGAGGCCACTGCAAGGCGCTGGACCTCACTGGAAGAAGGTCCAATGGAAAATATTTTTCTTGGAGGCCCCAATAACTGGATGGTTTACCCTCTGGTAATTTAACATAGCTATGGAAAATCACCATTTTTAATGGGAAAATCCACTATAAATGGCCATTTTCAATAGCTATGTTAGTTTACCAGAGGGTATTTATGTTTATTCGTGGAACATCCGGATTTAACATGGATATACATGCGGGGACCCCCAGACGAGGAAACCTCCATCGAGGTATAATACATTATAAATTAGAAATTATAGTACTATATATAGTGTTACGGATGTTACGGGAATTGTTATGTAATGTGGTAAACCCAATGCCATAAACCATCTCCAAAAAACACAAGTTTTATGGGTGGTGTAAACCATCCTTGTGGGTGGCAAATGATGGATAAGAATGGGAAATAGAATAAAGGATGGTATCACCGTCTGGTGTGTATGTTTACGACGGTTTGATTGGAATGATAATTATCATTCATAATTGTCATTCTCAACCAATTATCAACCCCTTTATCATACATAATTATGCACAATAGTTTACCGGCGATCATACATAAGAGCAATTGTCACTGGGGCGCATCAACCGTTAGTTGGCATTTGGGTGACCCAGGGGCTTCAATGGGATGTTAACCATGATGCAACCAACCAAAATATGGGGATTACACAAAATGCAAGCTGGGATTGGATGTAGGGGTGATGCTTGTCAATTATCGCCCGGTTGTGAAAATGGGCGTTGCCTATTTGCCTGGAGTTACCTTCGCGCATTTGAATTGCCTATTGATCATGTTGAAGGGCACATTTAAAGGAAGCCAACGTTTTTTTACCCCAAATTCCTCGGGGTTCGTTCGCATGTTGAACAGAAATTCTGCGAAGCAAGTAGTAATCCAGGAGTTTCCATGATTTTAATTATGTTAATGAGTTTCAAATCTATGACTTCAGATTCCAGTCTTTAAGTGTGGAAGTTCAGGATCCCATTGGGAATCCCCAGACAAATATCATCACTGCATTGCCAAGAATCCAAGCCATAAGACCAAGCTACCAGTTGACCATTGGTTGAGTTTATGTGATTCAAGATGGTTTTGTTCCAAAACAATATGACTTGGTTTCATCTTTCGCAGTCTATTGTCACGCAGTCATGCGATATATGTTGTGCCTGCCACCATTTTGACTGTGACTTTAAGTGACTGCTGAATTGGATTGTGTGACTTCATATGACTGTAACTAACCCATACACAAACAAATAGTATACATATACACACATATGGAGGTTTCCATAAATGAGGCAATGGGGGTACCCCTAAATCATCCATTTTAAATCCTTTTTTTCCATTATAAACCAACCATTTGGGGAATCTCCCATTTATGGAACCCCCCCATGTTGATATTGACTGGGGTATTTTCTATAGGTTCCATCCCACGTGTGTAAGGATCAAAGCCATGTGTTTCCAATTTCGATGTATAGCAACCCTACATAAACAAATAGAAACTTAGGTAACATCTACTAAGAAAACATAAAACATGACAATTTATATAGTTGGTTTTTCGACTTCCAAAGATCTGCAAAATGCCAAGGCTTTTGCTGCGATATTTTCATAAAAGGGTCAAGGAATCCATTGATGTCTGGATGTCTGGATTTACAAGACATCTCAGAGCTGATTTCCCCATTTGTAAAGCAGATTTAAGATTCACATGGCTTCCAAAAAAATGTAAGGATGATAATTATAGCAAAGTTCAGATTCAAAGTCATCATATACCGAGAAGAAAACCATCAACTTGCCCAGGTTGCCACACCGCTTTGACTCGGATACCCAAGGTCACCTGGCAGGCGCTTGCTACAGCTGAACAAATTCACTCGGGGATGATGGGCATGTTTTCGTACAAATGTATAACAACAATGGTTCACACAAACAATCCCACACTGTATCAGTTAATAACAGTTAATACTAGAAATATATATACATATATACATATATACATATCTATATATATACATTGATATCATTGTTTGTGTTTACCAAACAGTTGATATCATAATTGCACAAACAATGATATCAGTATATATATACATATTATACAATATATCTGGTTGGTGGCTTCGAAACCCAGCTAGAAAGAAAAAGTCACGTGGGATCATCATCGTAGGTAGAACATATCACATATTTTTAAACCCAAATCAACACTAAACACATATCATTTTATATATATATATTGACATATATATATACATATGCATATATATATATATGTTTGGGTTTATCTATGTACATTGCTTATTTTTTGGGTTCAATGTAACAAAATCAGGGGAATGTAGTGGGGATATCATGGCATGCACTTGGGATGTACTTTGGACTTAAAACCAACAAGATCTGGACTATTCTCACGTGGGGGATACCCAAACATTATTGGAAAAGCCCATATCTCAGGCCAAAAGTGGGATATCATGATCCAGAACTTAGACTATTTCTTCAAAGCATTCTTTCCACGATACTCTAACAAAAGGTCGCACAAACTCCAGGTTTTCTTCCGCTATTCGAGGCTATAAGGAGATCTCCCTGGCGGCTGCAGCACATGCCAGCGCTGCAGGGCCACGCGCTTTCTCACCTGCCGGGGGTGCTGATGAATGATGGAAATTGCTATTGAACGCGAAGATGTTTATATTATCAAGGTTTTGTAATTGATCTGGGGTCTCTGGACATGGATTCTTGGTTTTAGATATAGTGGAATTAGATTGTATTGTAGGTACCTTATTATTTCCCCTATGAGGAAACCAATTGATTGATTTAACGGGTATCATCTTACCATTGGTTATTTAATATATCTATTTGTTCTCTACCATGCTCATCGATAATCATATGTGCATTATTATGTTCATTCTTAGGCAACCAATTGGTTGATTAAATTGATATCATCCCAGTATCGATTACAATTATTTTTTCTATCATATTCATTGGAAAAACAGGGGTCCACTACCATTTCCCTTAAATGGTACCCGACCAATTGCTGGATTAAAATGGAATGGGTATCATCCCTTTATAGGGTATGTACTATATCTATTTGTTTCAACCACACTCATGTTTCTTCTAGGGTGGTGTTCCCATATACCTTTGGTATAAAGCCATCAATATTATCCCTGATGATCACTCTTTTATTCAAATACTAAATTTCCCCACTATTTCTACGTCTACATCATATATATATATATATATCCTTTAAATGAAATGTCCAATTATGGATTTTGCCGAACTCAGGGTGCAGAAATCTGCACCTTGACTTAGGCAAAAAAATGACGATATCCTAGGTGCTTGGTGGGGTATTGCCTAAGTCAAGGTGCAGATTTCTGCACTCAGACTTAGGGAATACAGAGGTTGTACCCTGGGATTTAGGAAAACAACATATTTGTTTTGCCGATATCAGGGGGCAGAAATTTGCATGTGGACTTAGGTAACAGCCTTACCTATTATATTCTACCATGATTTTTCCCGCAATGGATTCGGGGTCCTTCATTTTGAGATTTAGGCACTCTTTTTGCCGATCTTTTAGCTCGGGGACCCCGAATCCATCGCCGCCGCAAATCCGTCGCATAACAGTATTTGATTTTATATTTTATCTAAGTCCCCAACCAAAAAAAACATACCTGAACTGCGATCGAATTGGTGATCGTTTGTTCTGACTGGTACTTCCACGAGTGGAAGGGTAAATGGATGGAGAGGCAAATTATCAATCCCCTTCTTGGCATGACAGCCGAATGGCGGATAAGAATTAATAACATTGAAACATCCAAGGGACACTAACCCAATACGATTTTTCCTTATGGATAAATTTCACTAGTATATACCAAGGCCACCTACCTTGATAGATAAGATAGATAAAGAAATAAATGTTGGAAAACATATATCACACAATCAGTGGTAGAACTAAGTCACCAAGGACCCTAGAATCAAATTCCAAAGGCCCCAAAAATCGGCTGCACAACCTTTATCATGGGAAAATAACACATTTCAGGAGATAATACAATGAACTCAGGATATTTGCTCTTGAACAATGATAGAAACCTCAAGATTCTCCGAGAAAGGTGGAACTTGGACGAAATGACAAGGCGTTTTTTCGATAGTTGGTTTGTGTTTTCGACCCATCCCCAACTTCTTGGCAATTGACTTTGGATCATATTAATTCCAGGGATGAGGTAATAATTACGTGAGAAGGACCACTGATCAGTGGTTCTGTCCTTGTGCTCACGATTCTCCGCATGATTCTTGATTATACAAAGTACTACACATCTCTTTTTGTTGGTGTTTACCCTCTGGTAAACTAACATAACTATGGAAAATCACCATTTTTAATGGGAAAATCTACTATAAATGGTCATTTTCAATAGCTATGTGAGTCATTACCAGAGGGTATTATATACACCATCCCCCCGAACCAACACAGACCGGTTCGAACACCGCTCATGAAAAATAGTTTGGGAAGTCGTCGTTCACTGTCTTCCAACCGCAACTCGTGGCAAAGTCGATTTGCTAGTCCAACATTGTTACTTATATCTAACAATATCCTATTCTATCTCAATCTCTAACACGTATATATATATATATTAAATATATAATGTGTCATCTCCCATAAAATGTTTGGTTAATATCCCATTATATTCCATGATTATAGATACAGGTCAATAATAATGTATAATATCATCTAATACACATATTATAATCATCTATTATATAATTGTTGTATAATCATAATTTTATACCTATAATAACATAATATTAACATAATATAACATATATCAATTGTTCGTCGATGGTGAATCCCCATTGGACATCCAGATCATCCAGCTTAAAGCCCAGCAACCCATCACCATGGAGGCCACTCTAAGACCTGGCAGCCGGCAGCTGTTGAAACCACAGCTGTGGTAAATTTTGGCATAAAATTCTCTGGTTGAAAAAACAGTTAGGTTAGGTTAGTTAGGTTAGGTTCATCATTTCGAGAATAGGAGTCCCCAAGAAGTTTTTAACAAACGTCGAAATGTCGATTTCGGGATTCATTTTACACTTGAACAAAGCAACATCCTGAGGGTCCCAGCATGTCCCAGCTGCGCTCCCCAATACAGAGCTTCATATCTGCATCATGTATCATAATGTGTGATCTGGCTTGTCATTCAACCCCAACTAAAATGAACAAACTTGAACAAAATAACAAAGCTCATCAACCAAAGCTCATCAACTGAGTTCATTTGTGAAGAGTTAGGCATTTCTGGAGGGCCATGGCCCCAGTTCCGCATGTTTAATCGACTCTGCCAGGAACTTTTGCATGATTTCTCCGGGCTGGGGGGAACTTTATGGAACTTTGCCTGAAATCCAGATGTCAAATACACCTCTTTGACCTGATCTCACTGATCTCAATTAAACATGCTCATAATGTGAAATAGTGTATATTATAATGTGTAATTGTGTATATTAGTGTATAATAGTGTTGCTCATAATGTGTAACTTATCTTAATTATATTAGTATATTATAATCTTTAAGTTCATTGCTATTGCAACCCGCAAAACATCCCTGCAGTGAAATTCATAATTGGAACTCATTCCGAAACCTGACGAGTTGCTCTTCCAGCAGGATCATTGCCATAGTGGCCATACCGTATGATGTGATTTATATTGGTTGATGCTTAAATAATTTTCAACAACCCCGACTGTTGATGGTTGATCAAGTCCTCCCCTCCATTTTTCAGCCTTCCATCGTCTCTGCATGACGGGCTGAATGCTCGTCGGCTGGGTCCTTAAAACTGGGCTGCTCCCACCGCAGAAAGGGGTGGGAGCCGGCCAAGGAAAGAGGAATTTTCACCCATTTCCCCCTTGGTGGCAACCTGGTAATCATTACCCTCTGGTAAACTAACGTAACTATGGAAAATCACCATTTTTAATGGGAAAATCCACTATAAATGGTCATTTTCAATAGCTATGTTAAATTACCAGAGGGTAAATTTGCCCATAGGTTGGAGCTGCGGCAAGCTGGTAGTCATTTACCTATAGTTTGGAGCAATTGGAGCAACCCTGAATCTGAACAATGTCAAAATTGCGGATGGGGGGCAATACCGGGATGACAGTATGATTGCGAACGAAAGTGGGATGATATTTGGGCAAAGTGGGATGGTATACAGGGATAAAGTACGATGGTAATGTTCTTAACTCGCACAATAGTAAACTTCAGGCAATAAAAAAAAATGACGCGTCAAAATTACATTTTTCTTGCCAATACTAAAAGTAAAAGGGCCCCTATTAATTTATATAATGTTATGTTACCTATCTCCCGACGATCTCCCGAAAATTATTGCCTGAACAAGCAATTATAACATGTTTGTTTCGACATGTTTCGACCTCAACGTTTTTGTGAGAAACATTTTAATAAACACAAGAATGCATAACAATAATAAACTCAAATGAATCTCCTTCTTGTTTCTCCCTTCAATGAAAACAATAATAAATCCGAAAGTGCCCAGGCAATAATAAACTGTCTCTGTGGTTGTTGTGTGTGTGTTTTTTGTGTTTATATAGTTTGAATCAAACTTACAGAGAAAATTGTTTCCTCGTTCAACAAGAAAACTTAAAGAACCAACAAAAAGCGGAAAACCATCTCCAGTTCCAAAAAAGCTGATATCTTACTAAACTGCATTTAAAAAAATGCAATTTTTTAAGCTCACAAAGGGTACCATGGAGATATAGTTTAAGCAATGATATTTCTTCATCAAAAGCAGTAATAAACCTGAAAAACATCCATGGGTATTATTTTTTGCTATTTAAATTGATTTTATTCATTTCAAAAGGGATTGATTAAACATTGTGCATTATTATTGTTATTATTATTATATATTTTTTTAATAGGGTGGGTATTATTGTTATAAGAACATTAGTGGGACAAAGTGGGCATCATGTCATAGTAATGGTATGTACAGGGATATTTCAAAAAGTTAAGCAGGAAAATCATGGGGTAAAGGAAGATGACAGTCGGATAAATGGGATGGTAGTAGGATACTGTGAGATGATATTGGGATATGTAATACCAGTACTAGTAGTTGCGAGTTCGCCAAGAAACATGGAGATGACGGGCGATCAGATTGGGGTAGGATGCTCATATAGCAAAATCATGCGAAATCTGTCTACATATGGGGATGTGTCCAAAATTCAAGAGCCATTTGAGGCCACAAAATAAACGTACATCAGTAGACTGTGCATGTTCAAGTGTCCCTTTCCCGCACGTGATGCAAAAGGGCATCCAAACAGCAACAAATGGAGATGTCACCCTGTGTAGTTTGGCTTTACCCAGCCAATTTGCTCACTTATTGTTGATATCATGAAATATGATGCAAGGTTTTCCACAAAAATAACTTGCAGATCAAACTATTCCCACCCTTTCAATTGACATGAAAATTCGCTATCAATGGGCGATTCCTTTGCCATGTTGCTTGTCAGTTCCACCACAGCAGAAGGGTGTCAAGCGGGAATTCCAGTGGTTGAGTGAGACTTCTCCCCAACATTAAAGCCTTCTACGAGTATCATCTCTTATAGGATTTATATAGGTTTTGAATTGGTTTTGAAATGTTGTATTGACAAAGGCTGTGGTCCTCAACAAAAACCCTGGATCCACGGCCTGCAGTACAGCTGATGGCTCAGAATACCTGGGCGCTTCGATGGGATGTGGCTATGAGATGCTATGAGTAAAAACCCAGGGGACACCAACATGGGATGCAAAGTGCTGCTTGGAATTGGCTCCTGGGTTGGCTGATTTTTCATCCATTCTGAGGTGTTCTGAGTATGTTTGGTGCTGCAATGATGTCTGAAAGCGCACCGGGCACTGCCATCCAGCCAGGGCTAAGTCATTGGACACACCGATAAAGTGAAGGCCTGCTTGAACTCCAATATTGTCAAGAGGGATTCGTCCAAACATATTTGGCCAACCACCATTTCTTTTGGCAATATCCCCATTTGGTTGATTCATACCCCCATGTTTGATGGTAACATCTCCTGTTCTATCTGTTGGTGATTGCAAAAGCTCAATGTTGGCAATTTTTGTTGTAAATCCGCATATTCTTCACTTGTTGCTGGTTCAGTTCCTAGTTGCATCAAGTATATATCAATACCAATTGTGTGTTAACTCCCTAGTTGTTTCACGTTTTGTTGGTCAAACAGTAGTGATACCATGTTAAACCCGCCAAGTCTATCAATACAAACCGTGGCCGCCATGGCCATATTTTGGGGGGATATCCCCTTACATAGCCCTTACGTAGCCCTTATATAGCCCTTATATAGGCCTTCTATATGCTAGGTACCCTCTGGTATCCCTCTGGTAAACTAACGTAACTATGGAAAATCACCATGCTATTAATGGGAACATCATCTATAAATGGGCCATCTATACCATGGCTATTTTGACATAACCAGAAGGTACCTCCATCTTAGGATCCTGAAGTTCCCATTGAATCACTGCCGACTCGAAATCCACTGGCACTCCCCGGCCCGTTCCTTTTCAGGACAAAGGTGCCGTTCCGCCAATACGCAGGAAGCGTCACTCATCAGAGATGCCATGCAGTCACGATCACCCTGCAGAAATTCACTGTTTTAATGGGATCTAATGGGAATTTATGGGAATTTATGGTGGTTTAGTGGGATCTAATGGGTTTTATCCTCTGGTAAACGTTTACATAGCTATTGAACATCACGATGCTATTAATGGGAAAATCAACTATTTCGATGGCCATTTTCAATAGCAAACTGTTAGTTTACCAGAGGGTAAATTACTGAGAATGGCAATGTTTAATAGGAAAATGATGAGTAACCAGTGGATGGAATGGGGTATCTTTAGACACGCCCAACATTCTCTCTTTCGTGATTTGATTTGATCAAAATCTCCTTCCATCCTGCTGGCCAAATGCAAAAAACGTTCACTTCAGTGATTCAGAAGTGATTCATGTGTTCCTGTCCATTGCACAACTGCGCTGGGTTGCATCATCATGTTTACCCTCTGGTAAACTAACATAACTATGGAAAATCACCATTTTTAATGGGAAAACTCACTATAAATGGCCATTTTCAATAGCAAACTGTTAAATTACCAGAGGGTACCCTCCAATCATGGCTGGAACATCCACTGTTTCTGGGGGATGCTACCATCCATGTCGACTCGGATCGACTCGGCGCCTGGTGTGTCAGCAACCAGGACCATTGACTGGGACCCAGCCGCCTGGACCTCTGGGGACCAATGGTGGGATCAAATGCTTCAGTTTTAGTTCTTTTACTTCGGGTGTTTCAAGATCTTTCATTGGTTCAATACAAGGTGTTTTGGAGGCCGTTTGATACAAGATGCAGGTGGATTTCAATTTATCATCGACATCAAAGGAATGTGCACAATGACCCAAGAGAATGGAGACACTGTATATAATATAATCACTGTGTATACATATATATATATATATACATATGTATGTATGTATGTATGTATGTATGTATGTATGTATGTATGTATGTATGTATGTATGTATGTATGTATGTATGTATGTATCTATGTATGTATGTATGTATGTATATATATATAGTATATATATATATGTATAGTAATTATATATATATATATGTATAGTATATATATATGTATAGTATATATATATATCATATTATGTGTATATATATATATATATATATCATATATGTATATAATATATATATAGCACCCCCACGCCATGCAACAGCGATGGTGCAGGTTTTAAGCCTCACGTTGAAAGTTGCGTTTTAGTGCCGTCACTTTTCTTCCTGCCATGATACCGTCTTTGGGTGTTGCTCTAGTTGGATCAGTTGAGCTCGACCGGCGCTGATCCCAGTTGATCTAAGTTACCCGCGGAACTTGGATGTGGGATCAGCATCTTCAAAACCAACCATCAGAGTTCAAACTTCAGGACATCGACTGTACAGTCACCAGCCAAAGTCTTCCACTGGTTCGTGGTTGAGCCCCCTGAAGAATTCTGCCGAATAGTCCATTGACCCTGCTCTTTTTTTGTGGTCTGGGGGGGCAGTCTCTTCGCTGGACATGCCCGTCTCTACCCCCCGCCCTCATGTAATTCTGAGGATGGAAACTCATCCAGTTCTCAAATCTACAAAGCATTCAAGCATCTCGTTTGATGGCGGTCAAGATGGTATTCTTCTTGGATTTCATATGCACTGCTGACCTCTGGCGTACCATTGCCACGTTGGGAATCGCGGCAAGCCGCTCCTCATCAGGGTTTTGCGGTCAGACATGGGGTTGGTTGCTGCTACAAATTTCGCCATTTAAGGGTTTGCCCAGAAAATAGGTAGTGTAGTAGATATAGATAGATATAGATAAAGATAGAGATAGATAAAAATAGATATAGATACGATAGATATAGATAGATAACAATAGATATAGATATATAGATAAAAATAGATATAGATAGATATATACCTCACCACGGCCAGCCTTTTGTCGTCACACAAGTTCTCGACAAGCCCATGTTTTTCTCCCATTCAAATTACTGATGAACATGGGAAACACACCATAAACAGTGGGGTACCAATCATCAGGATGTACTCTTAAAGTCTAGAAATTTAGCCAAGCACTTCGCTGGTTTTTTTCGGTGTCATCCATTTTTCGGTCAGTTAAGCCCATTGGAAAATTCAGACATAGGAAAGTAATCTACCGACAATTCTGTGGTTGGATTACCAGAGGGATCCAAAGGGTACCGTATGGGTACCGTCTATCAACTCCTCTTTTTGATGGGCTTTCATGTCGTGACGTTGTCGTGGTTTTTTTGCCCGGCATCCCTGGGACCCATCCTCTAAGTAGCTCACCCATTTCGCGTATTGCAGATCATCTGCCACAGATTGTCGGTACAGATGCTTCAGAGAATTGGGGGCATCTCTCAAATGCGGCAAACAGCATGGTACCAGGATACCTTAAGGATCGAGGCCAATGGGATGTAAACGGGTAACTTGAAAAAGAGAACCTCAGTACCATCAAGTATCCACCTGGACCCCACAAGTACCCATCTCAAAATGGGGTCATATAATGTCATATACTCATGATATCCCATTGTTTTGATTTATTTTGGGACTTCTGCAATCTTTATATGTACTTGGAGAGTCTATAAGCCTATAGGTGTTTGAGGTTTCTGCACTCCGGTGTCCAGGGAAGTCCTTCTTCCCAGTTCAAGGCCAGAAAGTAAGGAGATGTTCGCTCACTCCAAGTCCAAACGCTTTCCTTGGGCAGCCTGCAGGTTCCAAGGTTAAACATGGTTAAACATGTTCAGCCCTGAATGAGAAATGAATAGAAATGATACCCTCTGGTTATGTCAAAATAGCTATTGAAAATGGTGATTTATGGTGGATAAAAACCCATTGATAGCATGGTGGATCTTTCCAGTTCGTTATGTAAACGTTTACCAGAGGGTAATGTGCCCTGCTTGTCATTTTGGTCCATAAAAATTTGGCACATCCACTGGGAATTCCTTCACCACTTCCAGGTGATCCCAGCCCAGATGCAAATGCGAATCGATTCCAACCTGGGAAGCCCGGTGCTTCCGATTCGCATTTGGAAAAGAACGAAGGCTATGGCTGAAACACATCTGAAACACCTATCATATCTATCATCGAAATGGTTCTCCTAGAATCTGACAGGAAGCATCATGAAGCCCGATATGGCATCCACAAGTGGGTGCAGTGCATGTATCATGACACTTCCGGTTTGGAATTTCTGTTTTAGTAGTTTCATGTAGTTTCTATCCCCATATTTGGAAGCTACTTGAATATAAGATCCAACTAGCTATAGTGGTTAACGCAACTCCAACTCTCAAATTCCTGAGATGACACTATAATATATGTCAGCTCACCATTCATAATACGTACTTGAAATTCTTGGGATGAAAGTTGACTGTATTTCGGTAAGTCTGTAAGTGGTTTTATCCCGACCGGGGTTTCTCAGAGCTTTTGACCCTGGGTATTTTGACTTTGGGAGCACACGTTGATCCCCTTTCTTGAGGGGTAATCAAACACTCAGTGCTCGGAAAAAAAAACGATGCTGAAACTGGCTTTGCCTGAAAATGGGGAACCCAAAATCCATAGGTGAATGATCAGTTTCCCTATGAAAGAAGGTCATCACGTCAAGCGGGTTAAATGTTAAATACATCCCAAGTATATCCATCATTATATATCATTAATGACAATGATCATTATATTACTACTATTAAAACATATCAAAACCAATAAAAACACATAACCACTAAACCACGCATCACCCAGCAACTCTTCAAAGAGTTCCACCGCGCGCACGCTGAGATTTCCACAGAGGTGCAATCCGACCATCGCCGTGGTGCGTCTCCGCAAATGGCTGGCGAGGCGGGGCAACGAGGCGGAATCCTGGGCCGGGAATTCTTTGGATACCTCGAATATGGGGATTTTATTATAAAGAAAATAGAACATGCTGAGGAACTACCCTCTGGTAATTTAACATAGCTATTGAAAATGGCCATTTATAGTGGATTTACCCATTAGAAATGGTGATTTTCCATAGTTATGTTAGAAAATGCTGAGGAACTAGTAACTATCCCATAGGATCCATGGTGCTGCCATATATGGTAGCATGGATCCCATCAATATACCCCAAATGTTAGCATATATTATATATATGGGTATGGGAAAGTGTCATCGGAATTTGACCCAAGAGATGAGGGTGTCAAAATCATTTGTATCCGATCAGGATATAAGATCTCTATAATTAAACATGTGCTATGGGGTTTGTATAGCTCAAAGAGTACGATTTTCCATGGGGGTCATGAGGACAACAAAAAACATCCGGTAAACATGCGACCTCTAGGATCGCTGGCAACCCATCAAAAAGTGGGCTTCAAACACAAGAAACAGAAATAGCTTCGAATATGGTTGGTGGTTTCCATGAAAGTATTGGACCGTTGGGATCTCCCAATCAAAATAGTTATAATTAGGGGATTATACATTTTCAGAATTGAAACATATTGAAAATAATAGATTTTGGAAACCACCAACCAAATTCCATTGCAAATAGAAGAAGTCCAGCAAATCCTGCTGCAAATACCTCGCTCTGTCAAGCGTGATCGTGAAGATATCCAGCAACAACAAACGATCCGACACATTTTCAACTTAAGCAAACTCATTTACAGTCCACAATCCGATGCACACTTTTTCGGGGAACCCTGTCTGGACTCCCTATCTGTGAATCTGGCATCTGTTTTCTAGGATTCCAGTGCTTGCAAATTGATGCTTTAGAGTCATCACTAGTTGCAGGTCTTACGACTGAGAGCATCACAAAGCAACAGCAGCACCCAAAATACCCAAACCAGCTCTAAGTTGGTCAACAAAAAAACCCAGACCCAACAAACCACAACCAGGAAAACACAACCAACTGCTGCCAGAAGACTTGACGGACAGGCCAGCTTCTTTGTAATGTGGGATTCCTTCTGGCCCCACACGATCCAGGGCCGACACGGTTAAGTCGGGACATCGGGTGGAAAGGACCAGCGAAGTGAGCGACTTGCCGCAACCTTAGCTGATTGCAGACCCTTGAGTTGACATGGCGAACTAGTAGCCAACGACCAATTGAGTCCCTTGATATGGATCAGAACCAACCAGAATCAAAGAGATGGGAACAAAATACAAATGAAAACATCTCAACCCAAACATCTTGGGGTCAACATCAGCACCCAAATCTGTCAGAATCTATCAGACATGAAACCAGCCTTGACTGATGCGTCAATATGCGTCAATGTCCTTTTGCATCCTACCAAGACTCATGATGGTGCAAGATTCTGTGCATCAATCAAACCTATCAATATATCGCTCAACCATGCTTCTCCACGTTTTCCGACCTGTTGAAGCTTCACTCCCGTTTCCAACAGCTTGCAGCCGGCAACATAGATCCAAGAAATGCCAATGCTCAGCATCCTCAAGAATCCTCGCTCGCTCAGGTCTTGCAACGGTCAGGAACTCATCTGCGCACTCAAACACACTCAAACTTGACTCGTGTGTACACACACGTCTGGGGTGGGGTGAAGTGCCAATAACGTTCACCACGGTCACACAGGCAGTACACATTCACCATGTCTTGGGCTAGAACGTTCATTGACCCATGCACACACGGGCACTGCACACTCATCATGTCTTGGGGTGGGGTTGGGGTGGAGTGCCCATAGCCTTCATGTTCATATCCAGACACAGGCACTGCACGCTGATCATGTGGGGTTGGGGTGGGGTGGGTTACAAATAATGTTGATTACTGTATGTTCATTGACCCGCACACACACACATGCACTGCACACTCATCATGTCTTGGGGTAGGGTTGGGGTGGAGTGCCCATAGCCTTCATGTTCATATGCAGACACAGGCACTGCACGCTGATCATGTGGGGTTGGGGTGGGGTGGGTTACAAATAATGTTGATTACTGTATGTTCATTGACCCGCACACACACACATGCACTGCACACTCATCATGTCTTGGGGTGGGGTTGGGGTGGAGTGCCCATAGCCTTCATGTTCATATGCAGACACAGGCACTGCACGCTGATCATGTGGGGTTGGGGTGGGGTGGGTTACAAATAATGTTGATTACTGTATGTTCATTGACCCGCACACACACACATGCACTGCACACTCATCATGTCTTGGGGTAGGGTTGGGGTGGAGTGCCCATAGCCTTCATGTTCATATGCAGACACAGGCACTGCACGCTGATCATGTGATCATGTGGGGTTGGGGTGGGGTGGGTTACAAATAATGTTGATTACTGTATGCTCATTGACCTGCACACACACACACACATGCACTGCACACTCATCATGTCTTGGGGTGGGGTTGGGGTGGAGTGCCCATAGCCTTCATGTTCATATGCAGACACAGGCACTGCACGCTGATCATGTGATCATGTGGGGTTGGGGTGGGGTGGGTTACAAATAATGTTGATTACTATATGTTCATTGACCCGCACACACACACACATGCACTGCACACTCATCATGTCTTGGGGTGGGGTTGGGGTGGAGTGCCCATAGCCTTCATGTTCATATGCAGACACAGGCACTGCACGCTGATCATGTGGGGTTGGGGTGGGGTTGGGGTGGGGTGGGTTACAAATAATGTTGATTACTGTATGTTCATTGACCCGCACACACACACACACATGCACTG